GAGGAAGGAAGAGTCAGGACCGTCCTTATTCAGCGCTGCCGAGAGACGACACCACATAAAGTGACGAGTACGAACGACAGTCCGCGCGAGCAGCAAACAGATTGCAATACAGAGCAGCCAAGCCAACCATGCAAGCTCCTGGAAGGCAGTGAAAAAACTAACGATCCGTGAGCTAAGCTGAGCGGAAAGCAACAATGGAGAATGCCGATTGAAAAAAAAATAAAAAAATTGTCAGCACGTCAAAAACCAAACCAAAAAAAAAAAACAGATCGTCAACACATTTGCGTGGGTAAAAGATGACCCGATGATAATCATCGGACTCTCAGAGCTCTTTTTTCCCCTTCTTTGTGGTTGCAGATAGTACAAAAAGCAGTTGCGAGGAGGAGGAAGAGGAGGAGGAAGAGGAGGAGGAGGAGGAGGAGGAGGAGGAGGACAGACAGCGCGAGCGATGAAACGGCAGCACAAGCAGCTACTCACCACGCATACTGCCCATCTGGGGNGAGGAGGAGGAGGAGGAGGAGGAGGAGGACAGACAGCGCGAGCGATGAAACGGCAGCACAAGCAGCTACTCACCACGCATACTGCCCATCTGGGGCGGTGGGCCACCGGCTTACGTTGATAGAGTGTTTGCAGATTGTACAAGCAGTAGTTGTGAGGAGGAGGAGGAGGAGGAGGAGGAGGACAGACAGCGTGAGCGATGAAACGGCAGCAGAAGCAGCTACTCACCATGCATACTGCCCATCTGGGGCGGTGGGCCACCCGCCCGTTGTTTCGTGGCTGATGTGTGCCAGGAAGGCCGCTACCTCTCGCTTTCGCTGATCGAGTGTACCTTCTGTAGCGAAAGCAGGATAATACGCGGCCGCACTAATGAGCGCGTCGTACGTATAAAACGAGTTACGGTGTTTGAAGATAGTCTCGTACAGGTTCGACGTCAATATGCTGTCCATCTTCGGACGGGCGTTCGGATCAGTGGGAGGAGGAGGAGGTGGGGGAGGAGGAGGAGGAGGAGGAGGAGGAGGAGGAGGAGATGCCCCCGCACAGTTCACGTTTTGAGGCCAATCGCAGACACCTATAGCTTCATTAAACAGCAACCCCGCAGGGCAGGGCTGTGAAACTCCTTGCCCGTTAACGCAATTGCAGAATTGCCTGCACAGATTTCAACAAAATACGTATTCGTCACCAAATAATAATCACCATGTACACCTGATGAATCGGTGAAAATCCGACACACACACACACACACACACACACACACACAACACACACACACAACACACACACACACACGCGCGCGCGCGCGCGCGAAAACGCACGTGCACATATGGTGAGAAGGTATTGACCGAACGAAAGAGAAGAAGATAGAAAGCAATGGCCACTGCTGGCTTCTGGACATGACATTTAAAGCTAACCATGCAAATTCACGTGTTCCGATGCTCAGGACTCGCACAACGTGTTGGAGGATTATTGCCCACCCCCCGCAAAAAAAAAAAAAAAAAAAAAAAAAAAACCATCTATTATGGCAGCTTGTGAAGATCGAATTGTTTTGCAAATCTTTGGGGCTCGCTCCGCTACTCACCAGATTTACGAAAGACAAAAAATATGGCAGTGTATCCTCCCATGTTCTAACGGAAGATTCATTCTTATTCTGCACATTTGGTGAGTAGCGGAGTGAGGCCCTTCGAAATTAACTACTTGCAATGGATTAACAAATAAAATACGTACGAAAAGGGAATTTCTACATATCGTCAACCATTCGTCATTTACTAACCAAGCGTCTCGCCGCACGCCACCCGAAACGAAAACGAAACGAGTGCATCTGCCCACGAAAGGTGGCAAAATACACTCGTTACTATTTATAGCAAACCGACGAACCTGGCCATTTTCTGCCGGAAGATGCACTCGTTTCGTTTTTCGTTTCGTGTCCCGTGCGGCGACGCCCCAAGACAATTTTGCTGTCCAATCTTTTGATCTTCGTTGCCCTTCATCGTGGTGAGATGCGATTCAAATGATATGCGATAGCAGATGCTAAAAAAAAAAATGCTAAGAACTGTTTAAATAAAAAAGAAGCAAAAAAAAGAAGCCGAACGGCAGGTACCTGAAACCAAAATCTTCGTTAGGCCATACTCAAACATTGTCAAGGATATCAGTGGATGTATCTGACCGCAATTATGTCCCGCTCTCGATGTACCAGATGGCAATTATGGCTAGAAAATCAGCCCTAAAGTCCCAGTGTGAGTATCCCCTGCAGACTGCAGTTTCTGAAAGAGTAGATGGATATGATGCACTTGAAAGCCACAAAGGGCCCTTCCCCCCCCC